AAACAAAACAGACGAATTGAATTAACCTTTAAATAAAACATTGTTTTATCCGTTTTATATATTTTTTTATTATATCGTTATTTGCAGAATTTAGATATTTAAAAAAATATATTACAATACATTTACAATTTTCTTTTGCTGCTGCCTTATCAGTAAAGTCACGGCACGCCACTGATCTATTTATTATGTGATCTAAGCTCATGACACGGCAGGTTGGCGAAAGCCGTGAAAGGGGTGTCCTGGCTGTTGACCGACCGGTGGTGGCGGTGGTGGCAACCGAATGCAACAGAGAATACGTTTGCTGGTTAGGTTGGGAGATTAACCCGGTTTCTGGAGGAAACATAGTGACGTATGGACGTGGAGGTGTCCTCTCCACTTTGGCCAAGACAGCGCTCCTTCTGAGGGGGCTGTGGGCGGGCAGTGCATCCCAAACTGTACGGCTAGGGCGATTACAGGTAACTCGACAACATCACCAGAAGATCGCGCGCTGAAGACGACGCCGTGAGTTGGAACCGCTGATCGACAAGGAGTGGGCTAGGGGGTGGAGACCCCCCGGTCAGTGACCCCATTCTTAATCATTAGCGACAGATAAGTCAGGTGTGCCTGTTTTCATATTCGTGATTGGGGCCGAATTGTCGCAGGGCCGGACCTGTACTAGAGCGTCACATGTAGGGGTGAGTGAATCTGTAGTTTGCAATTGGCTGTAGCCGTTTGACCGTCATTGATAATGAGTATTTGTTGATAATTTGCGCTGAGGCCGCTATCTGGCCAGGAATCGTCTTACATATAATTTAATAAAATATATTTTTTAATATATATGTTCTGTACTAAACGTACGTAAACTTTATTTCTTTTTACTTCCCGAGCGTAAGCAAAGGAAGTATTGTAATCGAGTCCGTCGCCCGACTCTCTACTTTTAGAGGACGAAGAAATAGGCTTAGATCATATAATAAATAGATACCACCATGCCGTGTTCTTTCCTTAGGAGAGCCTGTGACGACATCCTCCTGTCACACATCTCTCTCGTGCATGGAAGGATTACAATGAAGCTATCCTTGCCTGATCACTATTTGAATTTTGCGCGCCTAAATTTTAGGAAGTATGTCTGAACTAACTTCGTACGAAAGATGTTGACAGCTTGATTTTATAAATAATTCACAGTAGATAACGAAAGGAATAGTAAATTCTTGGGCAGCAATTGTGATCCTTTATGATTACATCACTTAAAATAGGATCTTTGTTCTAAATTCTAAAATTGTTTTTTGTACAACAACTCGAAAGAGAGGTTAGAAGAAACATCTGTCAAAAGCGATTTGTTGCGCTGGTGCGGTACAAGGATGGAAGTGAAATAGACATATACAGATGAAATGCATATAACAAAGATGAAGATGTGGTGATCACACAAGGATACCATTATACTACTTCCCTTGACGTAGAAAACGACAACAGATAGCTTCATGTCTAGTCACAGCTTTCAGTTTAAGTATTGGTATCTATTTATTATATGACCTAAGGAAATATGTCTCCCGTTTCCGTCTGTCTGTCCGTCTGTCCGTCTTATAATCAGATAATCTCCGGAAGTACTGGATCGATTGTTGCGAAATTTTGTATTTATATTAGGAATATCATGTAGATGGTAAAACGCTAACCAATATTTGTCCTAATCATCCCCACCACTAATGCGATGACGTCAGTTCAAAATTGTACATAGTAAATGGGTTTTAAATTGTATAAAATAACATAGTCCTACACATGTAGTTTATAACTCCGAATTAAGTTTTTACCCGAAACGTCCAGATTTTTGGAAAAAAAATCAAAATTATGCAACAACATTTTGCATTTCAATTTTGAATCTGCAAAACCGAATGCTTTAAAATCTTCCAGATGTTTTACAGTTATGACAAGCATGATACATTTTTAATCAAAATATTTTTACTTATCCTCTTCAAAAAATTGATGACGTCAGCTCAAAGTTTGCCGAATAATTCCTATCTAAAATGTAGAAAATATGATGAGTCTGTACTTGTGATTTATCATTCCATTCATATTTTTTGGATTTGCATATACAGGGTGACTAAAAAAAATTAATGAATGTGTGAATTTATTTTATTGATTTAATCAGAAACTACAAAACCGAATGGTTTGAAATCTTGGAGATGTGTTAAATTTATCATAATCATGGTAAAATTTTGATCCAAATGTATTTGCTCATCCTCCCTAAAAGTTCGATGACGCCACCGCAAAATGCTTAAATGTGTAAAGAATGATGAGTCTGTACTTGTGATTTATCACTGCATTAATATTTTTTAGATTTGCTTATACAGGGTGTCTGAAAAAAATTAATGACTGAGTCAATTAATTTTATTGATTAAATCAAGAATTACAAAAATGTAATACGAAAAAAGACATAATAGGCTTGCAGTCGTCACGTTCCCGATAGCGAGGGAAGTACTGTCTAAACTCATTAGACCAATTTTTGTATTTTCTAATTTCAATGCTTACTAATAAGTACTTTAAAACGACTGGTACGGCGTGGCCGACCCTGCCGCCCCTGACCAGCTGCCCCTGGTTAAAACAATAAAAACGACGACATTAAATGACAGGTTACAAATGTCATTAATGATAAAGTGAGAACTGTCATAGTGAGGCATAATTTCAGAGAAGCGGGATTTTCGAAATCCATGGCCAACTACGCCCTTAGAATCATTTATAAAAGCCCTGTATGACATATCACTGTTACACACCGACAACTGCGAGGTTAAAAAAAAACAGGGGCGGCTGGTGCCGGGGGGCACAAGCGCACGTGCCCCCCATGAAAATTACAACGTCTACAAACACACTGGACATGGTAAAATGGTAATTTTCAGTATGTAAAAAATTATCCGGAAATTTGTGTCATAATTATCAAAACTAATTTTTTTTTCTCGCTCCACTTGTATAAAATGTATCAAAACTTACATACACATACATCTAAAGATGTGTCTTGGATACAGAGATTTTAAATATGTCTGTGCTTGGATATGTTATTTCTGATGAAATGCTGATAAAAGCCGGGCACTGAGACCGATAATCATGGCAGATTTAGATGTTTTGTTTACACTGCTGCCATGGAAAACACACGTCCTCACAACTGGACTGCGGACCCATTCTAACCGTGCTCTGCAGGACTGAGTTAATATCGCGGGTTTCAATTTTCATTCTGCGCGAACACGTATGGTAAATATTCTTGTATAATCTTCTTGGTAATACAGACACTCGAAAACAACTAAACACCGCCTATATTATTAATATTCGGGCACATAATGCAAGGGTCGACAAAAATCGCCATATATTATGCCGATTGATAATGTGGATAAAATATTGTGGAGTGTTTGAACTTGCTTTACGTGGACATGACGAAAGTCGGGAATCACAAAATCTAGGTATATTTCGAGATCTGATTGATTTTACGACTGAATTGGACTTTGCTTTATCAATCATTTGAAAGAAGCAACGGTTTTTAAAGGAACGTCTAAAACTGTTCAAAATGAACTTTTAGATGTCATGAACGTAAAATTTTAACCGAAGGCAAAAAGGTATGTGGAGAAATCCTTTTTTACTTTTATTGAATGTATTTTTGTATTTAGTTCCGTCACATAATTTCGTCTACTAATCTAACAACCTGTTTTATATCCAGCCCCGTAGCCACGGGGCGCAAGATGGGGCTGAGCCCCCCATAGCAGTTGTGGTTGTCCCCCCTGGAAGACTTACAAATTACAAATTTCAAATTAGTAATAAAATTTCAATATAAAGCCGATTGCCGAAGCATATTTACTAGCCCCACCCGCCCACCCTTTATTTTCTTACAGGGTATGTTACTATTTAATGATTGGCCGCTCAGCATAATTAAAATATACTGGCGCTTACCACAATATCTTCATATTTAACTCATCAATCAAATTGTGTCCCCCCATTTCAAAAAGTCACGAGCCGCTACTGCAATGTAGCAAAGGCAAAGTAGTGTAAGTAACATTCATATTACTCATATACATACAATTTATATAGGGTATTCCACTCAGAGATATGTAAAAGACAGATATGGTCATAGCTTTTCCGATCTGGGGTCAAGATATATGATCTAAGAGAAGCAATACTTTGTGTCGTCTATCCTTTTCTGTATCAGCACCAGTACTACGGGTTACCAAGTGTGGGCTATATCGATCTCTCTCTTAACGGTGCTTGTCTTGTTATTGGCCCGTTCTGATGGCGGCAATTATAAATAATCATAACCACCCGCGTTATGCAGAAAATTTCATACAGAGCGTTGAATCACTCAGAGATATGTATTTACATACGTACCTCTGGGTAGGGTTTATAAGTAGTTAATGAGGTGTCATTCACTCATTATACAGTATAATTAGGAGTAGATTTTATGATTTTTGAAGTCATTAATTCTCAATAAAGTACACAATTAATGACGCCAATTTTTACATTTATCAAATTTAATATTTTGGCCAAATAAATATCGGTTTCACGTTCAGTTTTCAAAAGCCAGAAGTAGTTTTGCAAACAACACATTTTTTATAACTCATTTTTTTATCACAAAAACACAACTTCATCAACAAAATGCACGTAACTTGGAGGTTAAGTTTGACAGTCTGACAGATACCGGCACAACCACAAAACGGCATCAACGACAAACGTTGCATTATAAATCGAGCCAACTGATTGGTTGCGCCGTATAGAGCGAGAGCCTCAGATATTGAGTTACCATTATACCTGCTAGAGAAAAAGAGGGAGATACAAACGTACAGTGACATCTTGGCCCTAAACGTATGTCCACGAGAACATTAAATATCTGTATCTAGTCTTTTACATATCTCTGATTCCACTACCACTTTGTGCCGCTACAGCCAAATCACCAACAAGTGTCAAATATAGTGACTTTCATGTGGTAAAGTTGTCCCTCTAGGTATATGCGGCCAGGGCTATGAAAGTCTCAGCTGACTCCATAAGAAATACATGGGGAGCTTACGGAACGACATAAAGAGGTCACTGGCGTCACTAAAGGTGCTCCGACCTTGAAGAACATAGTTTCTTTTTCATTTTAAGGTTTTCGGTGAACGTTTTGTCTGGTTTTGTCAACAAGAAATGTCATATTATTTACGGAATCATACGGGATGTTGGGTTATGGGGTTAAAAACAAACGTAAAATTTATTTTAACAAAGTAATAGATACTTACGACACAGTCTTACGATACATGTAAAAAATACTAGAAAATTCCAGGCTAAAGAGGTCAACAAACTGCAGGTTAAACGAAATAGTTTAATTTTCGGTGTGTGCGTGTTTGAGCGGTCCAAGATTTATTTTTAAATTTTAGTGTGTAAAAAATTCTAACTCTAATAAAAACTGAGACGAGGTAATCAAGAGGAAAGTCTTTGCAGGGGTGGTGGAATGGTATTTTTGTATGGTTCGTTTTTTAGCCGCAAACCAGTTAACGAATACAGTGCATAAATTGGGTAAAACTCACAAAATATATTACCCACTACCGGAGTATAAACTGCAAATGTTTAGGTGGCATCATTAAATCGCCAAAAATCACATCTTCATTGAAAACTTTAAAATGTCACACAATTAAAACAGGATGTACCACTTCGTAAGAATGTGCAAAGTTCACACAAACTTCGCAGAAGTGGTGGTGTAAGAATGTTCGTATTAATGAGTACCCACAAACATACCATAAACAGTTGTGTTCTTTCAAGGTGAGTTTCCGGTAACTCACATCACTTAATGATTGTTGAAGAGGCCGGAATACAGGGAAGATGTGTTGTGGAAGTTTGTTTAAAAGAACACCTTAGCAAATTTTTCATTTCAAATAAAATAGTGTTTCACAGTTGTTTCTTGCACTTGTATCGAAATAATCTGTAGTAAATAGTTTCCGAAACGTTCTTTGGAATTCTATTGGTGTGGGATTTATACAATTCCCAAATTGACGCCTCACAGAGCCAAACAAATATGTCAAACAATACTGATTTAGTTGCAGCAACCTTTTAGTGAAAATTGTAAACAAATTGTATTCTCTGAAAACTATTAAAAATAATAAGCAAAATGTTTATGTTCCTGAAGTTGTTTTTTATTTTTTTGTGAGTGATTTAAAAATATTAAGAGTGAATTAAAAATTTTGCAATTCACTTGTGGATAACAACTTATTTGTCAGACTTGTTAAGGCTTTAATAAACGCAGTTTAAAACGTCAAAATTGAATAAAAATGTTTTGCTTGAATATATTAATAATTTATAAGAAAGAAAAAAATGACCAATGTCACTAATACATGCCAACCATTTTTATTTTTGTGTACAATTATTATTAGTATTATATGAATCACATACGAATGCTACGAAATATTTGAATCTTCGTGTTTCCCGGGAACGGGCTCCCAAGGTCACACCCGTTCCGCAAATATTGCTGAAGTTTCGTTACTGATCTACTGTGATGCGGCGGATGTATTAGTAAATATATCAACAGTAAATTTTTATTCAAATCAAACAAAATGTACAAAGACTGATTAACCAAGGCAGCTGACAAATACATAAAACACAAATGTCAATTTCGCTGTTGCCAACATTTGGTTAGAAATTCGTGCCCCTTATAGCCCCTAGAAATACATAGTATCGTCACTAAAGCACTTTATTATACTATATTAGGTATATTAATATAGTGCTTTAATCGTCACCGTGGAGCAAACCTGGCGGAAACTTAACAAAAACAAAAATTATTAACACCATTTGACAGACACCGCGACATTTAAAATTTATATGTTGGATTTAAAGTTTGTAGTATATATACAAAATATGGATTTTTAATTTGAATAAAATATACAATTGAATCAATAAAATCTTATTTAATAACTATTAGTTATATTAATTGACAATTAATTGACTTTAAACAAAAAGATCACGACAAGACCACGTGACAACAACGGTTACGCGCTGTCAACTCTCTACTGACACAATTTGGTTCCAAACTAGGGGAATTTTTTGCGTTACCAACTGCATTTGCTCCACTCGTACAACAATGGATGACGGTACTATGTATTTCTAGTGACTTTAGTGCCCCTTCGGTGATGGCGACATCTACTTTAGCTTTGTGTGGAATACCCTATTGCCAAAATACTTTTCTTATTTTGTATTTAGGGAGTTTTTTTGGCTAATTTAGGGGATTTTTTAGACAGGTTTAGGTGGAAAGTGATCAACAAGGTTGGCAACACTGCTTGTACTAGAACAACTGTTCAAAACTGTTGCCATAATGCGCGATGTATCGCAAAAGGTGCGATTTTCGATTAGAAATTACGACAGGTTTATTAGAGAAATCGCAAGTCGCAAATTGTGTGATTTTTAGATATTTAGCGCAAAAAGATATTTTTAGTGCAGCCGAGTTAAAAATGTAAAAATTAAGTTGATTGTTTATTTTCAATAATCAAACCTATCAAACTTATTTTTTTGTGAAACGTACATTTTTCCTGTGCAGTTTCCTAGTCATCGCGATTTTTCGCGATAATCATCTAAAAAAAATATGGCAACAGTGTGTTCAACGTCTAATGCAATAATGGTGGCCAGTTATGCACGCCGTAAATTAATGTGTAGCGTCAGTGCCATAAAATGTATAGAATTGTTGTATTATCTGTGCCCTGGACTGTCGATTGTGTTGAAATTTTATTAGATTTCTTGAACTTTTGTGTGTACGCGTGCAACAGTTCTTGAAAGACGGACGGACTTTGGTTGGTAAGTTTTTGTTGTTGGACTTGTTGGTAATGCAAATCGTAGATGTGTATATAACGCTTATGATAACCCTATTATTGGGCAGTTACTGTATTTAACTCTTTTGTGGGCGCGAGCAAATTATGGAATTTTTAAGGATCTTGACTTTCTTAAGACAATGTAGAGTTGCAGACATTAATGGTAATACATTTTTGCAGAAAAGCACCACACATTTTAGAATTTTTTATTTCGGGATGTAGTTTAACTAATAATACACTGCCTTTCAAAAAAATTGCAACACTTAGAAAACGTTTCTTTTTTAATAACTTATATGCACCCATAGAAGCACCATGTTCTCCGGAAAACATGATGAAAATATGGTGATAAACAACGCACGGTTTAGAATATTTTTCTTGTTTTTCTTGGCAAAGAAGTTAAACTTTGTATCATTTTTTTAACAAACTTTACATTTTGTTTTTATGGTTGTCTATCAGTTGTGTCACTTTATGCAATAAAATGCCACCGGTGCGAAGAAATATTAAGGGTCCTTTGCATTTGCAGTTTCAAGCAAGTTAGACAACCCAGTTTACACAGATCTGACAACTGTCGGTCAGGTAATTAGAAGGACCAGAGTAGTAAAACTGTCAGACCTGAAAATTATTTATGACTGTCATTGTATCCAGGGAACTAATTTAAATATATTTCTGTGCAAAAAGTGCGGAAAGTCGTTTCTTTATTTGTTGGTAACTAAATAATCGAAGTTCTCCAACAAGTCTGTTATGAATTTTGAAATAATAACATAAGTAATTTATTTATAAATAAATTAAATTTTGGTAAGGATTTTTTATACTTTATTCTAATTCCTTAAAAAAAAAATCTAAAATATCGTATATGAATAATAATAAGTTTTATTTCCAACAGAAAGCATGTTTGTGTCTATAACAGACAAAAAAAAGTACAAATAAGATTATACTATAAAAAAATAATATATAAAACATAAGAGAGCGGAGTGTACAAATATAAAATCGGCAATTATTAGAAGTACTTAATATATACAGGGTCCAAGTAAATAATTGAAAGTCTAGATAAAAATTTCAATACAAAAAAGTCGAAAAAAATTATAGAAAACAATAGAACATTATAGTAAACAATAAATAAAATGAAATACAAATAAAAGTTTACAAAAAATGAAAGATACAATGATTCACGAGCGATTTATCACATACGTCATTATCAAGTAGTGTGTATCCTAAAAATAAAAAGGTAAAATAAAATAGTTTATTATAAATCTCGGACCTTTACATCACTAATTCTGGCAAAATTGCACCAAAATAAAACTTGCGCAGTTGAGGAGCCATATAAGTTTCCCCAAAAAATTATCTTTTTTTATTTGTATACAGCAATGATTTTTTTTTGGTGTATACAAAAAAAAATACAAATATCTCGCTGAGTTATTCGCAGCTGACCCTGTATCTGATACATATAGGAATGTTTTAATTACAATTTTATAATGCCTTTTTTGTTTATGAATAAATACAGAATAATTTTTTTCTATTCCTTCTTGAACAGTCATCTCGCGTGCTGCGTGTGGGCATTTTACTTCAAGTAGTTCTGTATCTCCCTCCTATCAAGCCGTTTGGTGACGCAGCGAGGTCGACAAAAAGACCGCAATCATCAACTTTTTTTCCATAGTTGGTTTCAAAACTTTGAACTGCGGTTCGTTCATATGTTCTGCCATATTCTAATGATTTGATGGTCAAGCCAGACGCTTTTACTGCATTGGCTGTGGATGTCAATTTCCTCATTCGGCACACTTTGCCAAAATTACTAGCGGTAAGTCGCACAGACTTTTCTTTGTACGAAAGAAGAGGATTGAGAGCTTGTGTGCGTGTTTTTCTTTCAATTTCTTCAATATAACAATTTTGAAATTGGTTTTTTATAAAATCTCTCTTGAGTTTTTCGAAATCTTCTACATTTTGATCTTCGACAAAATCAACATCGTCGCAATCTTTGTCGCAATCCATTAGTGTTTTTTATATTTTGCTTTTATTTATTTATTTTTTTTTAATGATTAGCATAAAATTGTTGGGTATATTCAGCCTTGATATTATTTTCTCTTTGCAAAGAAAGTACAAATGGCTTCTTACTAAAATTTAGAGCGGCGGCATAGCATCTTGCTTCATTACCACCAGAAAGAGAAAAACTTATTCTCTTTCCTCCAATAATTTTATTTACCTGACTATTGTAATTTTCGGCATAATTACTGTCGACATCACATAGCAAACTTATTGCATTATTTGCCACTCGATTTGCTGTAGTAAACAAGTCAAATCCTGGACTTTCGGCAAATAAATTGTAAAGATTCTTCTCGCCTGACTTTCGACCTTTACAAAAATATTTTCCATTGACTTCACATTATTCATGGTTGCCCATCACATGCTTCGGTCCACCCAGAATATCTTGTCTCAGGAGCTCTATTTTTGTTCCTCTGGCAACTCCTGTGATTTTCGATACTTGATAGCGCATGTTATAGCGGTACGGAAGCGAACAATATTATCTAACAAAAAGGTCTTTACTGTTTTTAATTTTAATTGGTTGGCAATTTCTCGCAATAATTGCGAAGAATGTGGTTTCTGCATTCTATTTTCTGAATGTAAGTCAGGTTCGTAGGGTTTTGTACATCTAATTTTTCGGTACGTGCTACTATCACCATCGCCAATAACTTTTGCATTTTTAAATAATGTACTTCAACCAACGATTTGAAGCCTTCCAGAATTATTTCTGATTCCATGGAGGTTGATGTTCCCATCCAATTTTTGAAGCACATATGACTTGAGACTTCATCTCCACGCGAACAGGAAAAACAATATTTGTTTTTCACCCCCAAATGCAAAATTTGATTTGTGCGTGCACCAATTATGCACGCCACGCCCGATGCAGCATTATAATTTGATTTGTAGGACCGTTTACTCCATGCACCATCGACGATTACTGATATTATTGGTTTGCCGTCTGTATCTATATCTTTTGCTTCTCTCGCTAACGCAGCTTCCTCTTTTCCCGCTTCCAGAAAACTTTTTTTTGCCTGCATTACAATTCGTTTTTGAATTTCCCTTTCATTAAAAACATATGTATGAGAAGAAATTACTGGTACATTCATTGTCGATAATTATTCTGAAAATTGTGTGTAACATATTCCCGCTGCGTAAGCTCCACAAATCGCCGATTTGTTGACTTTTAGTTTATTTTCACCCGTCATATCCTGGGTTCAAAAGCTTCCAGACAAATTGCAAACTTTGCATTTCGTTCCAAAAACGCTGCCAAGACCAAACCGTTTTTCTGATATAATTTCAATGTCATAAAAATCGCACCCAAAACCTGCATGTTTTAGATTCTTCAGTGAATTCCACATGTGTCTCATGTCAACTAATCGTCGGGTATGCAGTTCCTATGATTTGCGCTCACAACTTGAATTTGATAATTCTTCTTCAATCTCGAGATCAGGTAATGAGTTGTCAGAAATATATCCCGTACTTTCATTACTTGCATCAGTTGGGCCATTGTTGACAGCTACTGAACTATTCAACCTATAAATAAATATTAATTATTATTATTATTATTGGTTCGGCCGTTGTGTGATGTTGTAAAAAAATGAAAAAGCGGACTGTATTTTTAACACTTTACTGTTCACTCAGCTCGTCTGCCACCTAACTACTAGTTCTAATACACAAAGTACAAAATAAGTAAACAGACCCTTGGGAGGGGGCGGTCGGTCCGCCCCTTCGGTCGTACGGCCGTACCATGCCGCCGCCCTTGAATTCTTCTGAATTCGAAAGATTGAAGTACAGAATGGCAAATAAAAAATAAGGAGTACACAGAATTCTGGAATAATGTTAAAATACAAGATAAATATATGAAATGTATATAAGAACAATGTTCGAGAAAAACACTGGTCTGCGAGTCCTTGCACTGCACTCGTAAAATTGCCCTTAACACTCCCGCACAATAATCACTCGCTGGTGTCGATGTCCTGATCTAATGGCAGGATGGATAATTTGGACGCGGCTCTCTTGTAGACCCCCTTGCTCGTGCGGACCGTTGCGACACGTACTAGGCCGTCGCTACCTGGATGGACCTCCAGCACTCTTCCCATCGGCCACGTCATAGGTGGGGTTTGTTCGTCAACGAGAAGTACCAGACATCCAGGTGTAAGGGAACGTTCTGGAGCTGTCTTCCACTTGTTTCTTGTTTGTAATTGGGTCACGTACTCCCGTTGGAATCTCTTCCAAAATTGTTGACGCATCCGTTCCGTGATCTGCCAACGGTCTAGTCGATTAAGATTGACATCCTGTAGGTCTCTTTCTGGTGGGGCGGTCAAACTTTCGCCGATAAGGAAATGTCCCGGAGTCAATACTGATAGGTCATTGGGATCCGCGGATAATGGGGTAAGTGGCCGCGAGTTGAGACAGGCTTCAACCCGGGTGAGGAAGGTGCACATTTCCTCGAACGTGAGCAACGCACTCCCAATCACCCTCTTTAAATGGCGTTTTACTGATTTAATATTACCTTCCCAAATTCCTCCGAAATTCGGTGATTTGGGAGGTATAAAAAACCATTTTATTTGATCTTGCAAACCCTTTCGTACACTATTTTTAAACTCGTCGCTGGTGATGAAATTAGTTAGTTCATTTTTTCCGCCTACAAAATTTGTTGCATTATCGGAGTGTATTTCCGACACGTTTCCCCTGCGTGAAATAAACCTTTTAAACGCGCTCAGAAAGGCGCTAGATGTTAGATTGCTCACTAGCTCTAGATGGGCGGCCTTGGTGCAGAGACATACAAAAAGGGCTATGTAGGCCTTAACTGAGCGCTTACCTCTGCCGCGACCTTCTTTTATGTTAATCGGTCCGCAATAGTCTACACCAGATTTTGAAAATGGTCTGGCTGGCTGCAATCTTTGATGTGGGAGATCGCCCATTTTTTGATAATGTATTTTCGGGTTTGATTTGAAACATGGGATACACTTGTGTAAAACTTCCCTAATCGTGTTGCGGGCTGCAATGATCCAAAACTGCTGTCTAATTGCAGCAAGTGTGGCCTGCGCTCCGGCGTGCAATTCCTGCTTGTGAAAATGCTCGATTACCAACTTGGTAAAGTGGTGACCCTTTGGAAGTAGTATGGGATGTTTTACAGCAAATGTTAAATTTGAATTACGCAATCTCCCACCAACTCTGATAATTTGATCTTTATCTAAAAATGGACTCAAACTTAAAATTGAACTATTTTTATTGACTACACCATTTGTCTCTAGTTCATGAGATTCCCTGCAAAATGTTTGTTTTTGAACGTATCTAACAATTTTATTTTGAGCATTCTGAAAATCTTGGACATTTAGTTGCCCCTTCTTGTGGTCTTGTTTTGACTGTATGTAGTCAATGAAACGAAATATGTACGCCACACATTTTATTAGTCGGTTGTAATCGGAAAAGGTTTCTATTAATTTAAATGAATTGTCACAAACAGTTATTGCGACTGTTTTATGGGTTTCGGGAATGATTTCGTCAAAGTTTAATTCATTGTGGGACCATTTAGGCCAGTTATCTGGTTCTTCGGCTAACCAGCTTGGCCCATGCCACCACAGATTTCGGCTTGACAACTGCTGTGCGGACATACCCCGCGAAACTATGTCGGCTGGATTGTCAGCGCTATTGACATGGACCCATTCCTCGATATTAGTTTTAGACTGAATTTGTGCGACTCTGTTAGCTACAAAAATTTGCCAATGATTAGCAGGACGTGCTAGCCAGTGTAAAACTATCGTGGAATCGGTCCAGAGAAATTTTGACGTGATGTTAAGATCCAACAAATGAATGATACGTGTCACTAAATCAGAAAGCAGTACCGCCGCCATTAATTCTAATCTGGGGATGGTTACAGTTTTAATAGGGGCCACTCTGGACTTCGACGTTAATAAATTAACCTGAATGTTCTCGTCGCTATCAATTGTTCTTAAATAAACCGCCGCACCATACGCCCTTTCCGATGCGCCCGAGAATCCATGCAGTTCAATGCTAACGACATTTTGGGGTACTACCTTCCGATTAATGGTAATTGTATTTAGATCGGTAAGGTCCTGAATTAAATCCAGCCATGCGTTATTAATACTAGGTGGAACCTTTTGATCCCATTGTAGATTTTCAAACCAGCATTTTTGTAATAATAATTTAGCCTTCACAACTACGGGGCTCACCAAACCCAGGGGATCAAAAATGCGTGAGACTATCGATAAAATATACCTTTTCGTTAAGCCAGTCTTAGGTAACTTATGTGGTAAACTTAATTTATATCCTAGTGTATCGTGACTGTAATTCCAATGTAAACCTAGAGTTTTGTTTTCGTTATGCTTGTCAAAATGAATGTTACATGTGTCTGTGTTATTCGAATGAGGAATTAAATTGATGTCATTAGACGCCCATTTAGCTAACTGGAAACCACCTGAATTCAAAATGAAATTGATTTGTTTTTGCAACTCGATTGCCTGAGGTAATGTATCTGCACCTGTAAGCAGATCGTCTACGTAAAAATCTCGATTAATCCTCGAACTTGCAAGTGGAAATGATTCGGAATTTTCATTCGCTAATTGTTGTAATGAACGTACGGCTAAGAATGGAGCACTGGTGGTTCCGTAAGTGACAGTTATTAAACGATAAACTTGCAACGGATCGTTTTTTGTTTCTCTCCAAAATATTCTATGATAATCGCGATCGGGAATGTTTAACATAATTTGGCGGTACATTTTGGTAATGTCCGCATTAATCACGAATTGGTAGGTTCTAAAACGTAAAGTGATTCCAAAAATGTCGTCCTGTATGGTGGGACCTGGCAATAAGTTTTCATTGAGGCTCAAACCGTTGTCTGATTTCATGCTTGCATCAAACACTACACGAATTTTATTGCCCTTGAATACTGCATGATGAGGAATGTAATAAGTATTGGGATTATCCAGGCGCGGATACAGGATTTCGTTCAGGGGGGGGCAATTTTTGTGTGATTTTACCTATCCACCAGAAATTCTTTCTAAACAAAAAAATTTATAAAATTTTAGCTAGTATACTCTTTTTCACATAACATGGGTGACATTTGGTTCTTTTCATTACACGTATAGTGTACAGTAGAACCTCGATAATCCTAATTCCTAATTGGGAAAAAGGTGTGTTCGGATTAACGATTTGTTCGGATCAGCAATTTTCCCAAAAATCTGAAAGGGAATTGAATAACAACTTCATACACAACTGAAAACAAACTTCAAGAAATAAACCTAAGTTTTATTAAACAAAAATTAAAGAATTCTTAAGCAACAATGGGTAATAGATACATTCTAAAAAAATATTACTCCGTGACCATAAACACGCTATCTTTTTGGAATAAACACCCCGGGATCTATACCCTGAAATTTTTCAGAATTTTTAGATGAATTTTTCAAAAATGAAATTTTCCATTATGTATTCGTATTACCTCCATTATGCAAATTTCGACCCATTCTCGACGATTTTCGAAATTTAACCAAATACTTTCTCTTGTAGATTTCGGGTCTCCGATAACTTCATCCGTTTCTCCAGAATTAGTTAATTAATTCAGTGCCTTGAAATATCGCAATTTTTAAAAATTTCAAAATATTCCATACAACATATGCAGAAAGATCTTGCGTCATTTTTGGAAGTAGATGCATGTTTTCAAGTTCAGTTCGGATTGCAAAGTTTTTGTTGGGATTAAAGAGGCATCGACTTCAAATAGCCTCTGTTCGGATTACTGGATGTTGAGACAATCGTGAGTTCGGATTATAGAGGTTGTACTGTATTTACAAAATGAAATATGATTTCAAAATTTTGAAATTGGTCAAAATAAAGTACCTCGGTCGTGTGTCAGGGGGGGGGGGGGCAATTGCACCCATTGCCCCCCCCCTGGATCCGCGCCTGGGATTATCTACCTGATTTCCCGCAAACTGGTTCCATATGACCTAATGCATAATATTCGCGCATGAAATCTACATATTGTGACCGCAGTTCAACGTTTTTTTCTAATTTCCATTCCAGCGACATAAACCGTTTACGTGCTAATTCATTAGAAGCCCCTAATATAATATGATTGTCCTTTGTCGGAAGGGAAACCCAAAATCTGCCGCTTTCATCTCTTTTACTATGGTCTGTAAAATGTGTTTCGCAAACAATGTCCTGTTGTGAGAGTACCGGATGGGCGCATTGGTAATCCTCAACATCCCAAAATTTTATTACTTGCTTATTCAATTCTTCAAGTTCGCACTTGGATTTTACTGCAGTGTAATTGCAAGGGCTTGAAACTGGTAAATTCCATGGAATGTTTAAATTTAATGGGCCTGAAAGGATCCAACCGAATTTGGAGTTGTGCAGGTAAAGCAACGGTTTTAAAAGAACTTTACCATCAATTAAGATATCTAAAAATAATTCTGAACCAATAAGCAAATCTATAGGACGACTGATATTAAATTTTGCATCGGCTAAATTTATGTTATTCGGTATAGTTATATTGTTAGTTGAAAATGAATTCAATGGCAAGGATTCTGTTATTTTATTTAAAATGAGGCAATTAATATCTGCAGTATAATCATTAAATTTAGATTTCAAACTAACCCTTGTCATCTCCGTTACATTACTTTCATTTTGATCAATAAACGTTAATTTATGATTGATATGATTTACTTTCAACCCAAGTTTGTTACACAATGCTTTTGTTATCAAATTTGATTGAGACCCGTTGTCTAACAGTGCTCTACATTCGTGAAAATTGCCAAAATTGTCCTTGATGAGAATTATTACGGTTGAGAGTAGGTTTTCCGAATTAAGTGAATATGAATGATTGCTAACTGACTGATCTGGAACCTCATCTTGATGTAATAATGTGTTGTGACGTAAATTGCATGTCCGACAGTTATATTTTGATCAACATTCCGAAACCTTGTGCCTTTTAAAACAGTTTGATCAGAGATTCAATTTTTTAATTTGTTTAATACGGTCATTGATGTTCAGATGTATAAATTGGTCACATTGATGAACAAGGTGATTTTCCTTGCAATTGTAACATGAAATCACTTTAGTGGCAGCATGCGTAAATGATTGAGTTTTATTTGTATATTTTGTGTGAAACCTTTGTTTTGTTGAATTATGTGTAAGATTGTTTGTATAATTTATAGTTTCAAAATGACGACAACGTGTTTCTAAGAATTTTAAAAATTCTTATAACTTGGGTAAATTTGTAGTCAACTTAGATTGCCATTCTTTGGTGTAAGGGAAATCTAATTTGTCCGATAAAATAGTGATTAAAATGATATCCCACTGATCTGTTGGCACTTGTAAAACCTTGAGGGCTTCGAGATTAATTTTGATATCGTCAATTAGCCTTCGTAAATTTTCGTACCCTTTGATATTAGCGGGGAATTTATGATATTTCTAACGTGTGCCTGAACTAGAAGTCGAGTATTCTCAAATCGCTGCATTATAATTTGCACTTGAAACCGTCAAGGCTTCAAGGGCGCGAAGAGCTTCGCCCTTGAGAGTTGTACGCAAGTAATGCATTTTCTCGATTTCGGTCAAATTAGGATTTTCATGAACCAGGGACTTAAAAATATCTCTGAACGACAACCACTCTGCATAATTACCACTGAATTCAGGTAATTCAATTGTGGGTAAATTAATTTTGACTTTTGTTGCTGTCTGCGACGGTGGTTGTGGCTCTGAGGTATTAGCTAATGAATGTTGTTTTTTATCGTTATACCTTTCTATTAAAGATTCAATTTGGCCGATTGTATCAAAATAAACGTTTTCGAATTGCACCCTTTCTGCATTCTCTGCTCCAAGCTCAGTTAAGGCGGTGATTTCCTCAATTTTTTCCTGAATTTCATTAAATTCTTTGATAGCATTTAGAGCAATCTGATACCTAGCCCTCACTGAACTGATTTCATCACCCGTGTGATCCTCAACAAATGCTTTAATGCGTTGCAGACGATTGATTACCTGTGTACGTTTTTGTTTAAGCGACTCTAGAGTTTTTTCGTTAGCCATGATAAAAGAGTAATTGAAAGGGCACCATTGACGCTCAGGAACATGCACATAGGACAATGGTAAATGTGATAATGGAAAGATCTGACCTGTTGTCGAAACGTTGTGGTTAGGCTGCTGTATGTGAACTTGTTATCAAGATTGAAGACGGCCAACACTCTGTTGTATGCACTGTAATCCGGTTCGTTAGGACCAAAATGGTTCGGCCGTTGTGTGATGTTGTAAAAAAATGAAAAAGCGGACTGTATTTTTAACACTTTACTGTTCACTCAGCTCGTCTGCCACCTAACTACTAGTTCTAATACACAAAGTACAAAATAAGTAAACAGACCCTTGGGAAGGAGCGGTCGGTCCGCCCCTCCGGTCGTACGGCCGTACCAATTATTATTAATAAAAGATAAAGAATTATTGTCATTTAACTAACTAATTATAGCATTTGTTTGCTTGTGTTCATATTTTAAAATAAATTCTACTTACTGTCGTTTTTTCCAACGTTGCTTTGCCAAAGCCGTCTTACTTTTTCTTCGAACACCACAAGTTTTGTGCACTTTGCTATGAATTACCATTTTGTTAACAGAAGTAAAACAATCAAACTATTTCAAATATCAGTGAAATCTAAACGACTCTGATAAACTAATGCAAATTTTGTTCATTTAAAATTTTACTAGTACGGTCAGCGCACTTAGATCATGTAAAACTTTCATTTTTAGGGAGAACCCAAAATTCGTCCATTGTCTCCGGGTATCTGCACCCTCGTAAATCATATTGCACTACTGCCATCAGTAAAATGTTTTGCAATGTTGGTTGCCTACTTTTGTAATTAAAAAAAATGTTAATTGCCGGTTCTTCATTGACAAAAATATAAGTTTAATTTAACACCTGTGTAGATTTTATTCATATAACCAAGTGTGCGACAGCTGAATTCTGAAATATTACTATTTTTACTGAAAACCCGAAAAATCGATTTTACATTTTTTCCAATTTAAAGAAAAATCCTGTTTGTCGGCAAAAAAATAATTTAACTCCTGCTTAGAACTTTACAAATTGCGTTAAATGTGTTAATTTCGCTTTTGCATATTTAAAAATAAAGCCGTAATCTCACATGAAAATTTATATAGAAACAGAATACGTACATCCACTGCAGAGGAGCCTTAAATTTGAACAAATTTTCGCCTTTGACAGAGGCAGAATTGTGGGTATGCGAGATGCTGGTTTGTCGTACCGTGAAATTACAAGACGAATCGGTCGAAGTGCCGGTGGTTACGCTACTGTAAAGGAATTGATTATGACCATATCAATAAAACAGTAGAGGATTCGATGCTACCATTTTACGCATTTACGTCCAATTTCATAACTTTCCCGCAGCGCGTCAAATCTATCAACTCAACCCATAATCTGATTATATCTGGCTACTACTTGTGGACAAGAAACATCAATTCTGGTCCCATTACTTTTCTTCCGTCTCAAATATGTTGTATTACGTAGTGAACAAGAAGTCTAGATTCCTCTAGACTTGTTGTTCACCACGTACACTGAATTATTGTCCATCCACTTCACTAGTGCGACATTTTCTTTTGTGCTAAACATGAATTCGTCACGATTTAATTTTTCCTTACTTTTAACAATCGAGGATGGAAGTCCTTTGCGATTTGAACGTAAGGTGCCTATGGCATAGATGTTGACGCTTTTCAGCTATTTCATTAGTGAAAAAGTTATCAAAGACGACTGGGGTGTTATCTTTGACTATAGAAGTTAGCTTTGAAACTACTCTTTCTCCTAGAAGTTTTCATTTATCAGCTGTATCGTCTTTCTCAATATACATGTCAATCTTCCTTATCTCATCTATAGCCATGCAGGAAGACGGTTCATATTCACGCATTACCGACTCTTTTGGTAAATCTATAAGTGATCTTATCTTGAAAAGTTTATCATATTCTGCTTGGTTTTTAGGCACAACTTTGGTTTTTTATATCTTTTCGAAGACATTATTTGAGAAATAGCTGGTACACCTAATAGAGGACCGTTTGACCAATAATTAGAAACTAGAATCATTACTCCAACTAAAGCTTTCATTTCTTCAATCGTGGTGTCATTCCAATTTTTACTTCCATTTTGTCTTGCGTATAGATTTGTTTGGTCAACCAGCAATTTGAAAATATTAGCATCATAAATTCTAAGAAAATAATCTATTTCCGTGGCCGTATTGGAAAATTGATGTGGAATTTTAAGTAAATCATCAAATTTGAGATCAATCTTTTCGAAGTACATATGTTGTATCCTGAGTCCAGTTTTCGGGAACGTCGAGAAATTCGTCTTCTGTTGGTGTTTATTCTGTCGGTGTTTCTTCTACAGAGTTTACAATGTCGTTATCAGAATAAGTATTTTCTATTCCTTCATAAGACGAAAATACTTTAATAATTTCAAAATAGCTAGTACTAGGAGATGTACTGCTGTTATTTGTACAACTAAATGTACCAAGGCCATTTAGCTCTACATCAGCTTCTTCATCTAAATTTTCTTCATTGTCTGGTAGACTGAAGCAATATTCTAGGATAGCTTCTGTTTGTCTTGGATCGTTCAAGTTCCATTTTTTTTTCATTGAATAATGAATCTAAGAAAATCAAAGACGGTAGTGTTGTAAATATCTGTTATTGACCAAGGCCGATAATTTTTGAGATCAAAAAAATTTAGAACATGGAAAAGGAAGAAAATGTAACAAAAATAAAAGGAAAAATGATTTACGGGCGATCTGAGGTCGGGAAGTGGAAGGGGCTGAGCTTTTAAGGGTGGAAAACGGTTTATCATGATTTCCGGCAAAACTACTAGTCCTGTGGGAAAAAGTTAATGGCAAAGTTCTAGGTAACGAAAAGATCTACAACTTTTGTATTTACACTTTTTTCACATAACCTCAAAATTTATGCGAAAAATTTAAATAACCGAGTTTTTGGTTTTTTATTTTTATCTTCCACAAAAAAATCACCAAATTTGGTGAAAACTTACCTTTTAAACTCAAATCCATAAGGTTGTAACCACTCCCAAGTGTAAATTTAAAAAAATTATTCAGTGTAAATCTGTCTTTTAGTAACCTGGTTACATGCCTGGTGACCTGTCAATATAATGTCAGTTCATTCATGTATTTGCGATCGTGATTACGTTCGGTTTCATTGCAATTCTTGCATTCCTGCACAGGTTATTTCATAATTTTCATTGTAACTTGTCGCAATATTGTAAAAATTGATAAACAATTTTACAATAAAAACACGATAACCTGAGTCTTCATGGTAATTATGATAAAAGAGCAACAATAAATAGAAACGTGTTTTATCTTCCATCTGTAGAAAGAAGAATGCCACCTGCTGTAATTTAGACTTGCAGTCGATACGTTTACGAATTACGATAAAACGAACCCAAAAATATTGTGGTCACGAATGAAATCAGATATTGGGCTGGTAAAAAAACAAGGTGAATTGATTTATTTATAAATCAATTCACCGCTTCATAAAAATAGCTTTAGAGATGGGGAATAACTGAATACCTAATTCAGAATTTGTTTAAATTATTGTACATGAGTGTACGTGATATATGTGTGGCTAACCATGATCAATCAACTAACTGAAATGATCAATCTCGCGAGCAACACCAAAATTGTCTATAATGGGTAGATAACTGTTCACCTTATTAGTCGCAGCGGATGACCAATTTTTCATCAAAAAAATGAGACACCAACAAGTCTTTAGTGTTATGTTTAATAACTCAAATTTGGTAGTACTTATTATTTACAAAATGTACAAGGAATTTGGTTGAAGGTATACTCCTCCGTCGTGAGGAT